TGATTACCGAAAGGATTGTTTCAGTGATCGCCGAAAGGAAATTCGCCATGATCAAATGGAATACCGAGTCATGAACACGGAGAAATTCATGACAAGTGAAAGTGGCGGTTGTCAAATGATCATGCAAAGACACTGTTCAAATTAAGCAAAGATGTTAATTTTAGGTCAGAGTCAGCCTCAAAAAAGGATACAACAGTGTGACTGATCCACTTAACGCAACAGATGAATAATCAATGAATGCCCGTCGCATTACATAATGTAATGTAATGTAAACGATTTGAATGAACCAACCGTAAATGAGCGATGACAAGTGAACATTGTTGATGTCGGTATGAATGTGAACAAAAAGAGCGATGATAAATGAGTGTTAATAAGTAACATTCTATTGATGGATTACATTATCCTTTCTTAATCACTTATCTACGGGTATCGAAGGTGATTTGATTCGAACTGATCACCGCGATATGCTGCTACATGCATCAAAAGTTATTCACTTAAATAACACTAATGTTTCAAGTATTACTGATTGTAAGCAACGTGAAAAAATATTCGAAATGCTTCATTGAATGTATTTATTCAATATTGATAACATTCTCATATTCTATTGGGATATTTCAAATTGAACTGATTATTACGATTTTATGTGGACTTCATATCTTTATTGATGTCCCGTCTTCATAAAATGCTTGCAGTTATTTTTGAATTCGTTTGCAATACTACCGAACAGGTCAGAACATCGATTGTACTGAATGATTTTCATCGAATGGACTGAATGAATGTCAATTTAGTGAGATTGAGATGTGGATTATTTATCAGCTCGAAATCGGTCAACTTTTCATGATTCCTATCCTCAATAGCACTAATACTGAATTTCATTGCTACGATTAAGAGCACATTCGGGACCGCTGACAACGCCGTGATAAATCCAATCCGACTGTGCACATCGAATTTAACAAAACACTACTAGCATTGTTCCTAATCGATTGTTCCCAATGCCAGAGGAGTACTAACATGAATTTGAAGTGAACAGGAAATGACACCGAGCATTGAATGAATAAACCGAATAATGTAATTAAAGATTTCGCTTCAACACGCTTCCATGCACATTCTATCAGATGTTCAATTATTACTGCTGTTACTTGTGCCGAATTTCTTTGCCAAAATTCCGCACGACAGTTAAGAATTTCATAATATACAGTTTTATATTGCAAACGCAGACATTTCGCAGCAACTAGCGCATCGGATACGTGAGCAGAAGACATCGATTAACATCAAAAGAAACTGTGCATGCAGTTGGAGGTATCTTGACTCAATGAACCTTAATGTTGAACCCGTTTTGAATATATGTAATCCATTATCAACTATTTGCACCAAACCTCGAAAGCGATGACTAACAATGGTACTTTCTATTGCATCTATTGATGGTACAGAGCAAACATGATTACAATCGTGATTGAGGAAATAATGCAGGCAAGTTCGTTTCAAGTTGTCAAATTTGAATATTTGCTACTGGAGTTATTTTCAAGTGAACAGCCTAGGCCATGAAATCGTTTGTTTTAAAACTGCGTAAAATCATGATGAAAATTAAAAATTGGATAATTCGAAGGAACGCTTAGCTATCTGATTAATGCAGTGAATAGGAATTAAGTGATTATTCAATCAAAACAGAATAATCAATTGGAACATAACTCATACAGGTGAACTGCAAGAGGTTTTTGATTGTGAAGAGAAGAAATGAAAATCAGTTGATCAGTGGTGGGTGGCAAAAAAAGAAGAAAACGAAAAGTGAACATGAGTAACGCTGAAACGATTACGCGAGGATCATCGCTGTGATCAAATCAATCATCTTGGAATGAATGCTGGGTGATCATCCACATTGATCATGTGTAGTAGACCAAATCAATGTCAAATTATTCGGCGGCAGTTCGTCGTCGTAAAAACTCTGATGCTCAAAATAATTCGACTTGACGCGAGAAAATTTCCACTCTTAACTGAATTCATTCATGACTAGGCTTCAGGGCGTAGAAATAACTCCGAAGCTGTGTACTCTTTTGTCTTAAGCAACAATGGAATATTGGTGGTGGTGGTGAAGCGAGTTTTAAACTAGTGTATTTTAATGCTATTGGTCGATAGTGGTGGTGGTGTATGCATTGTTTTAGTGATACGCTATCGGAAAATTAAATTGGAATGCATTTTAGATAGGTGGTTTAAACGTTGTATGTGGCGTGGCGTTCATGAAGTGGTTGTTGGTTTGTGAGGAAGAAAACACTGCAATTAATTCATATGCAAATGATCGTAACGTTAACGCTTTAGGCAGAACTAGGACTCTATAATGCGGAATTTGAATGGTGGAAAGCTGGGTGATAAGAATGATAAGCTGTGATAGAGAATATGAAAGCAAACAAACCGGATCATGCGCAGCTTCAGAGGTGGCGAATTGCGTTTGTGGCGAATAGAAACGAGAATTTTGTGGATGTGATTGATGAGTTGTGGAGGGATTCGTGGTCGTATTCGGCTGGATCTGAGCCGATGCTGAATTTTGCTGAGCGGGCTGCTGTTGGGACTGGGGCTGTGGTTGTTGTTGACTTGTTTGATGCTGAGGAGGTTGCGAGTGATCGTAATAAAAATTCGATAAAGCAGTCGCAAATGGCTGAGCTGATGTCATCATCAGTCGATTGATCAACTATGAACAGCAACAGATATGATCAATTATCAATGAATACAATTGATGTTGTTGTTTTTTGATTGTGTTGTTCGAATTGATATGCGAGTTGATATGATTAATTAGCACCGATATGATGAGTGTGATTCAACGAATAGAGCACGCAGTTCTGCAGTGGAATAATCCTTCATCAAACAATTAATTATTCGAATAAATGAGACAATAATGAATTTGTTGTTTGCTCTCGTTAATTGGTGTAATGAAGATGAAGTTGAAGATGATACGCCACTGATATATTATGTTGATATTGATGCTCTGCTACTGCCAATGCTTCCAATCTCACACTAAAAACCACTTCGACGTTGAACCTCTTCGGTCAGAGCGATAAACAAACGCGAGAGTATCACCGCAACCACACCGAACGCAATCATCCAGAAATGCGAATCACCCGAAGAGAGTGTGCGTTCGATGGATGCGTTCTCAACCAGATCGACTAAAGATACTCGAACGAATCGAAAGGTTATCGTAAGATCATCGAGAGACTGCCTACTGCGCAGAAATGGCAGTGATGCTAGAGTAAATCTTGTGCCCATTTCATTGGTTACTGATTGAGAGTGGGCGGAGACTAGTAGAATTCAGAGGCATTCTTATATGAATGGATGCAAAGAAATTAAAGGAGCATTTCTAAGCAGAAAATAAGAAACGGGAGCGGTTAAAATTCACTGACGGAGGGATTTTCTCCAAACTTTCAACCACGTTACAGGCAAAGTTCACTGTGTTCAACATGAGATTCATAAATTTGTTAGTACAAACAGATTCCATGACAAATTACCATCAACTGTAAAAGAGCATTCAACGCGATTCATTCAGTGTGATTGTTCTGTTGGATTTCGTTACT